AAAGAAGGGCAGAGGAGGCAGTGGTACACATATGGTCCTGACTTCCACCCCAGTACCACAGACACTTCTTTTTAATGCACAAATCAATAGATCAGGTGGGACCGTTCATTTTAGAGGCCCATTTTCTGTGTTGGGAATTGAACCCAACATGCCTGGCAAGCGTGGCAAGCATCCTCCTACTGAGGTATAGACCCAACCTCTCCTGTCTTTGTGACTCTTTCCTGCATGGTGTGTCCTCTCTGGTTTATGAATAAAAGCCTCATTTGGTATTAATTTTTTCATAACCTCCTAGGTCTTAAGACCTACAATGTGTAGGTTTCTCCTTCTAAGCCATGTAGATTTAAGCCATTCCATCAACGATGCCTCATTGTCTGGGATTCCGAAGTGGCTTCTTCACCTATTTCAATCGCTAAGGCTAGACCGGGCCTTGGTATGATTCAGCTGCAGTTTATTAAAATGAAAATGATAAGTGCTGGCTAATAGCAGTTGGCATCTGTTTTAATTAATCAATTAAACAGTTAATTAATTTGTGGAACTGATGACTGAACCTAGGATCTCATGACAAGCACTCTACTACTGAGTTACATCCCTAGCTCCCCCACCCAACACTGTTTCATTATTAGCCACAGATAGCCGGGAACTTGCTGTGTAGAGATATGTCTGTCTGACTCCAAATTAAAGGAAGACACAGGTGCCACCATGCCACACCCAGCTGTCTTTTTATTTTAAGACAGGATCTCACGACATTGCCTAGGCTGGCTTTGAATTCATTCTGGAGCTGAAGCTAACCTTGAACTCAAAATCTTCCTGCTTCAGCCTTCAGAGTAGCTGGGATTACAGGCCTTTACCTTCAGGCCTGGCTGGCTTGTGTATTTCAATGAGAGGCTTTTACTGGACGGGTATATCTCTGAATGATACAGTGGTTATCCTTTAAGACGCTCTAAGATGGGTGAATTTGTTGTATCTGGACCCTTTTCTGAAGTGGAGTTTCCCTGGCATCTCTTTTGTAAAGCTAGAAGCTTCTTTTTGAAAGATTTTTTAGACAGTAAATGCGAATGGAAAGAATTCCCACAGAGGGAATAGGTATGGGAATTGGACTGTGAAAGGCACATTAGGGGATTTCAGAGGTAGGTGCCCTGGCCTTGCCGAATTACTAACAAGGCATGGCCACTGGGTAGCCGTTTCCATGAGGAGCCAAGGGGGCTGGCCGTGCTCCTTTGAGAAAACAGCCCTAACTGGAAGGCGAGTGTTGAGTTTAGAAAGATGCAGGAGAGGAGGGTTGCAATGACAGTCTCCTGATGGCACACATGTAATTGCAAGCCTAGAGATGAGACACTTAGCAAAGAGGCCAGTACTGGTCTGAGCTGGCTGGTGTCAGAGGCTAAGAGATGCAGGGGAAAACCAAGGTCACAGACTTTTGTTTTTTCATATAGAAAACAGCACTCAGCCATAGCCCTCAGGGGCAGGGGTGTGAGTGCCAGGAATACACTGGAAAACTAGAAAAAGAAATAGCCCAGACGAAGGCTCCTGCAGAGACTCAGACTTTTTTTTTTTTTTTTTTGGCAGTAGGGGGTGGGGCTGTACTGGATTTCATTTTGTATGTAGCTCAGGGTGGCTTGGAACTCACAACTCTGCAGTTGCTGAGATACTAGATATTAGCTGGCATGCCAGGCTAGACATTCTGATTTAATGTGGAGTGTTGGCTTTGAGAGACACAGGAGTCTGCACAGTTGTTGAGCAGACCTTGTTGCAGGCTTTGCTCCTGCAAGTGAAGACACAGGACAGAGGGAGCTGGCAGAAAGCAGATGAGAAACCCAGAAAAGGCTCCAGAGTGATGGAGCCAGGGGCGGGGGTTGTTTGGGTTGTGAGGTACATTTCCATAAAATAAAATAGATCTTAGCATGGAATGAGTTTTGAGTAATATCTCCATCTTCATGATCCCTCTCCCAGAGTCACTTTTTGTTTTGTTTTTGTTTAAATTTTGGGTGCAGGATCTCTTTACTTAGCCAGGTTGACATCAAACTCGAGTTCCTTTAACCTCTACCACGGTGTGGGAATTATAAATTCAGTCACCCTGCTTGTTTCCAGTTCAGCCTCTCTCTCTCTCTCTCTCTCTCTCTCTCTCTCTCTCTCTCTCTCTC